CTCTGTTTGGAACATGGCTGTTGTTGCTTCTAGAAGACACCATTGCCATATATGCTTGCCAGGGCTCACTGGCAGAGGCAAATCCTTATCAGGAGCTGCAGCTTTTATAAGCCACTGGGAGCTCATTGGAAGATGTACTAGGTATATTCATTGATACATTTCTTTAAAAAATTCCAGCTTAGAAAATGACTCTCAGGAAACAGCCACTTGTGATCTGGCAGGAAGAGAATAATATAGTTTGGGGTTACGAATAGTAGCAGTCTGGTGTCAGAAGTTATGGGCATGTGGTTGTAACTAGGAAACAAAAATATTTTCCTTCCGGTCTGAAACAGGGTTGGTCTACGAGTGGTGGCGTTTTTGAGGGCATTATCTCCAGTTTGATTGCAAGGGTAGATTACCCTCTCTGGGCCATGTCTGCGGTAAGCTTGTTTTTTTACTTTTGTGATCTTGACAAGAGTCATTTAAAATGAATCAGGCGGTGTTTCCAAAGTGTTTGCCGTTATGCGAGTGATGTTATCTTCTCCAACTTTTGCTTTAAACTAACAAGATTGCCCAAAGCTTAAAGCTTGAGATGTGTGCCAAAATCAGATCTGTTCTGAGCTCCTCTGCTTTAGAAAAATTGCAAAATATATCAAGTGGTTATGTTAGTAAGCTTAACAATGCCTTTGGTCTCCTTCACACATTAATACCTTGGCCATGTGGAATTGATAGCTCAGCTCAGCACAGCCAGCCCACCTCCCTTTCAGTGTCCTCTGTCTTATGCAAGATAAAATACTGTACTACACACTCTCTGAGTCAGACGGGAGGCTGACATACCAGATGAACTTTTACTCTTGTAAATCATTTTTAATAAGCTTATAAAACCTTTGGTTTCCCCATCTGAGGTGGCACTAGGAGAACTCTATAGGGGAATTTTTATTATTATTCACAAGGCCCGAGTCTTGGGGTCTGTTTCTTTCTTTTGTTGCTATGCATTCCTGAGCTCAATTGACTCATTACTCAAGAGAGTGGGCTGTGTGTGCATCTCTTGCTATGCGCAATTGTTGCTCTCGCTGTTCTTTGCTGTGCCACTCATTCCTGGCTCCTTTGGCGTAACTGAGTGGGAACGAAGCCAAGAGAGCTGGAGCTGCTGGCATTTATTGATCGCGTCCTTCATTAAAGTACTGGCTGTGTTCACCCCTTGTTCGGGAAAAGTGGTTCCTGGATTTCATGATGTATATGTGGGATTCTAACAAGGTCCTTGTGAATTCTACCAATGGACAAAATAACATTTTAAATAAAGGGACCCAATAGTCTGCTAGCCAGCAATCAAAATTCTGGAACCATTCTTTAGAACGTTTGTGTTCTACAAGTGGGGCTTGTAACAAAATGTTGTAGCATGAAGTGCTCCTGTAGTGTTCCAGCCAATCAGGCATGTATTCTTCCAGGTTATTTCATTCTATTCTATTCCATTCTACTTAGTTTTATGTCCATCCATTGCCCTCCGTACCTGCACATCAGCTAGTGAGCATTCCGTAATGATGATAATGCTTTAAATGCACAGATGCAACAGGCGTGATCGTCTCGGTTCTTCTGATGAAAAGGACAGGTTGCACTTCTTCTGAACACTAGAAACTGGGTACACTTAAACGATAGCCAAAGAAACACAAACTCCAGATCAAGGTATTCCAACCACCCAGTCAGCCATGTGGTCTGCAGGCAATGAGCAACCAATCACCTGCAAAGCTGGAAGTGACGCCGACTGCACAGTCAGCCAAAGAACCCAGTGTACTTTCAGTAACATCCCATCTTAGCACTGTCTCTAAGCACAGCAGAAACAAATCAGCTGCCGAGGGATTTTCGAAAGCAAATGAACAGCACTGTTTAAACAAAGCAAGTGAGTTTGCAGCAAACCTATGTTTGCAATAAGTAAAATGATGCAATTTTAATCAAATGAACATCTCAAAATCAGGGTGCTAGAGTTGTGGCCTGTTTGTTGTGCCTGCCAATATACAGCTGTGGAGACCATTTGGGATATGGAACTAGGAAACTCATGTTCACATTTAACTTTACCTTGCTGTCTGCAAGCATTTTTCTCCAGCGCATCTGTTCTTTGTGGTTTGAATTGCTTTAGTTGATCCTCAGGGGGCAGGTGAATGCACTGTCTTTTCTCCCCAATGGCATTTGCGCTAGGTGCTTAACAATGCAATCCTATGCATGTGTTCTCAGAAGTAAGCCCCACTCAGGTGGTGTTTATAGGATTGCAGCCTTAGTTGCTTTTAACTGTCTCAGTAAATTGGCATGACAAAGTTACCGTACATAAGTTTCATGTCAGATTATGGCTTCCCCCAAGGAATCCTGGGAACTGTAGTTTGATGAGGGTGCTAGGAATACCTGACTAGAGATCCCAAGCCCTGCTCATAAAGTAACAGGGAATGATTTAAACCCATGGTATACATATACCCTTAATTAAGGACCTTCCAGATTGATTCCCACCCAGAAATAGTGACAAACATATACTGGCAAATGAAGGTTGTGGAATTAAAGTTGGTTGGGTGCTCCCACCCACCTTCACCCCAAATTGGACTTTTTGCTATAAAGGAAGTGATGGGGAAATGCTTTAGAAAGTTTGGGATAACAACTGCTTGACATTACATTGTATAGCCTACCTGTCAACAAATCAGAACGCAGGCCAAATAAAGAGCCGCTGCTGTCAAATCTCCCTGCAAACTTTGTGTAAACAAATCAGGATGAATGCTTATTAAACAGGTTGTCCGGATGCTACCTTGGTAGCGTTTTCCTTCGTAACTTGCGGACAGCAATGCTGGTAAAAAATGGGATATTCTGCGCAATTTATTCTCTTGTTGAAGGAGGAGGCTGCATTCGTCTATTCATCTAAGGGGGAAATACTAAGATAACATTGTAGAAAAAGAGTAATTTTCAGTCTAGCATGGCCTTTAGGTCAGTTAAGACGTTTGCGACATTCCTGCGTTAATGCATCCAAAGTGATTTTTAAGAATCGGTGGTATCACCAGCATTTTAGAGCAGAGCAAGAAGGAACTTTTGGATGTCATTCCCCCACTTTTTTTTGCTTTGCTCTTGTGAAAAAGGTTCTGTACTTGCACCACCGGCATTATGTGCACATACAGAATAATAAATTGTTTCGTTAGCAATAGTAACTCTCTTTCTCTCTCTCTCTCTTCTGCATGCCTGCTTCCGTCCAGCTGGGGGCTGGCTGTCGGGCAGACAGGCCAACGACGTCACGGAAAAGCCCTGTCTCTGATCAGATGGGCTTAATATAAACCAGGTTTGCTGAGAAAGAATTAGAGAGGCAGCCCTTGGACAGAAGAAGGATTTCCAGGGGGAGAGTGGATCGGTGTTCAACACTCTCCTGAGAACTAGGGAGTGAGATTAACGGAGTCGCCTGTGGTTGGAACAGAGAGTAAAAACAGCAACAAGGTAGTGTTGACTTTAATGAGCATTGATTCGAATGCATTGCTTTAGCACTGCTGGCATGTGAGTAGATAGACAAAAATGTGCAAGTTGAAAGAGTGTTCAGAATTTGCGTCAGACCAAACTTTATTTCTTTGTTAGACTATTAAAGTAACAGCATAGTTAGCTGCACATTGCAACGAGACTGCTCTAAATGCATCAAAGGAAAGGAAAGGCATCTTATTCTATCCCTTTTTAGAGAGCACAGTGTTAACTAGAGCCACAAAATAGTAGTAAATGTGTTCATATGTCACATATATAGAGATGAGCTTGATATCTGTTCACTATCATCTTTGGCTGAAAAAGTTGAAGTGACTAGTCAGTAAGGGAGAAAAGGAATAGTCTAAATTTGCATTGGATGCTGTTTCTGACCAGCATTCCTTTGTATCTCTCAACCCAAACAACAGGCAAGGCCAAATATAATAGCTTTGCAGGTTGCTGCAAAATGCATGAAAATGTGTGCACCTGAAATGTCATGGAGTGGAGTTTCCTTCTTTGCTGCATATTTTTGTTTTTAAATTGTTTGGAAGCCTCCCGAGGAAGTTCTCACGGAGCTTGTCCTAATGGCAAAACAAGTGCATTGCTTGAAAAATAGTTGAACTTGTGAATGCTTCTGCATCTGAATTTTGAAAATGGCCTTCAACAATCTTTTGGGCAAGTGCTCTGTTTGTTAGCTGGAGAGAAGTGATGTGAACTGAGAAAACTCAAGCATAAGCTTGAATAAGCAAAATGTCTAACTTAGCTGTCATGTTGGGAACTGGAGAGCATCAAAGCAACTTTCCTAAAAATGGTAGCTGCAAATGAGAGTGGCCATCAGGAATTAACTCGCTGCACTGTACCGCCCACCAACACTCAACAGTCCTTCCTGCAAAGTGTAATTAAAAGCCAACAAGGGGAGAGCACCCAGTTCACTGCTCCAGAGATGAATTAGGGGCTCCCCAGTTTGACTGGACTTCTTGGTCAGTAAACTATGGTTACTTATTTGTAGTGTTTCCTCCTCCTAACTGACCCTTTAAGGGGCAGAAAAAAAGGAATGTAGGTATTTAGGAAAACCGAAGCAGGGGGGAGACCCAATGATGTAACTAACATCCTAGCCTCTGACACATCTATGAAGAAATAACCCTTTTGTATGGTGTAAAACCATGTTTCTTGGTTGCTTTGGGTGCTTCCCCCCCAGATGCTGTAGTACCATGAGAGGTGACCAATGCACTGATTCAGAGCATCAATCACACATGGACCACATGTCCACTTTTTAGATTGCTGCTAGTCCATATGAATGTGCAAGGTTTGCAAAGGGGCAGAGTGCTGTTGTCATGTGCAAACAGCAAAAAGATCTCAGAATAAGAAATAATCTCAAGAGGTACTTCCTATTATCATCACTCCTAGCAGCACCATTGACACTTCCAGGTGTCAAGTATTTGCAGATCTCAAGAACTCACCTGTTCAGATATGGTATGCAGAAATTCAACGGTACAAATAACACTTGTGATTTTACTGTTGTTGTTTTTTAACCAGGGCTGGGAAAAGCCATGACTCTGAACAATGTCACGATGCGTCACAGCAGCAACACCTTACAATCACAGCAGCAACGCTGGAGCATCCCAGCGGACGGGAGAAACCTGGTGGTCCAGAAAGACCCCCACGAGTGCAACCGACACAAAAGGTATACCGTCAACCCCGAAGAGTATTACCGAAGAAGCTGGTCGTCGGAGTCTTCTGACTCTGTCATCTCCTCCGAGTCAGGAAACACCTACTACCGAGTGGTACTCATCGGGGAGCAAGGAGTTGGCAAGACAACCATTGCCAACATCTTTGCAGGCGTGCACGACAGCATGGACAGTGACTGCGAGGTGCTCGGCGGTAAGTCCTTACGTTCCACGCTGCGGAGGTTTATTTAAAGCCTCTTGTGTAAGCGGCGATTAGCTCTGAGAGCTCCTGATATTGAGGCCGTGATTCCCTTGGCACTTAGCCTCCAAGACGATTTTGGCACGTTGGGTGCCCAGTGATGTAGGGTGGAGATTACGGTGGAGATGGTGGAAGGAGATTCTCTGTTGTCAGTGCTTTAAATCTGGCCAAGTGCAGAGTTTTCCCCACGGAAGGGCTGCTTCTGCTTCAGGGCAGCTTCCCATGGGCCACAATGGGACTGGTGGGTGGGGCACCAGAGACAAGAATGGGAGGAGGAACACTTTTATGCAGTAGTAGGTTGATTTCTGCACACAGCCCTCTCTGTCCTACCATCCAGGCAAGAAGCAAGCCACTATCAGAATTCAAAGAGACAGGGAAAACACCCAAGGAAGGTGCAAAGCAGGTTTTGAGAGGGGTGGCCTGGAGGGATGGGGGTGGGCAGGGAGAGTTTGAAGGGCCAGATAGAGACACTTGATGGACTTCATCGGCCCCTGTTCCTGAGGTTCCCCACTGTCTGCATAAAGGAAGGAGATAGGGTTTATTACACTGCACCAGAAATCAAATCTTCCACATATTTATTTATTTTTAAAACAAAAAATCCTGTCATTTCCACAAGATACTCAGGGCAGCTTCTCCCAACAGTGGTGGCTGTGGAGTCCATTTATCACTGGGCCTTTGGTTGTGCAAGCGCTCCCTGTTTCGAATCAATGTGTGCCTTCTTCTCAAATATTCTCAACTGCAAACCAGACTGACTTAAGTGACCATTGACTTTAACAAAGTTTACATGCTACAGATTAGACTGATATGCAAAGTAGGATTGTCACATACAGAAACACAACAGCTGCAAGCTTAAGAAATGTTTTCTTAAGGCAGAAGTAAAGTCCCTATAAGTCAGAGTTGATCCAACAAGAAATAAGGAAGAAAGAGGAAATGAGAAAATAAACATAGCTTTACAAGATTAGTATTGGTCTTGATCTAAATTAACAACCCTGTTGCAATATTCCTAACGATATGACAACAGAGTTAGAAAATTAGCAAAATAAAGAGGTTGCATGAAGAGAAGTTTGAAGTTCAAGAGACTAACAATGGAATCCTATAACTTTCATCTCTGATTCCCAGCTTGCAACATGGAGCCCACTCAAACATTTTCATTTTCTGAGTGGTTTTCAACTAAATATTATTCAGAGTAGACCCACTGAAATGAATACACCTGACTTAGTCATGTTCATTACTTTCACTGGGCCTGCAAAACTTGACTACAGTACTGCTCTTCAGGGTGGATTTAAACGTGGCACTGTTTAGGGAAGTTTTTAATATTTAATTCTGTACGGTATTGTTTTTAACACTTGATTGGGAGCCGCCCAGAGTGGCTGGGGAAACTCAGGCAGATGGGTGGGGTATAAATAACAACAACAACAACAACAACAACTAACATTTCATCTGCACAAGCATCGCAGCTTGCTACGTGGAACAATTCCCCGCTCTCCTCCCTCCTGCACATTGTGCTGGGGGCTCTCTGAATGCCCCCCCCAGCCAAGATCGCAGGGGGAGGAGTGGAGGCAAAAAACAGCAGTCCTTGCACAGGGCTTCTGCTGATGGGGCAGGTGCTAGGTGAGTCCTGCACTTTATTATCCCTGGACAGTGCTAATAACACACATGATTAATCCCAAAATGTTGAATTCAAAGAGCATTTAGTAGTAATGATATTCGTAGTAGCAGGCATTTGGGAGCAATGATATAGCATTGCTAGGAACTCATAGGGAGTTTCTTTTTATCGTCTCTCTATTACTCAGCAGCGATTGGCAGGGTGCCGCTGTGGGCTTTGTTATGTACTGAAGTTCTCACCCTGGGCCAGCAGGGGAATACTGTAGATAGCTTTCACTCAGGTCCACATATGCAAATAAGGGATTGAAAGTGACGTTCAGTGATTGGATAGTTACAGAAAATGTTACTGTTACTGTTGCGTTGTAGTGGAGCTCTGTATAAGCAGGCTGGCTGAACCCTTCAGTTCAGTTCTGTTCTGGCCTGTGAATAAACAAGAGCTGTTTGAAGAATCACTGTGTCGTCTGATATGTTCACCCACAACTTAACAGTAACCTGAAGCGTATGTAACCCGAGGTACCACTGTATACATAATAAAGAAACAAGAGAACATTACAAACACATCGGCTCCAGCAAGCGGACTGTTCCCATGAAGCATTGGCAGGGTTTGCTGCTGCTTTCACTGACAAGCTAACAGGAGATAAAGGCTGGAAATCCTCTTGTACGAGTCACACCATGGTGAGAGAGCTTGGTTGCTCTTTGCCAGAGGCTTTCCCCAGCAGGTCTTACTGTGTGATTAAAAGGAGAGCCTCGGATATTAGTTATTCCTTGAGCTAATAGGCATTGGGCTGCTTTTGTTTACTATGAGGCAGGAGGGGAGACTGAAAGGGGAAGATGGAGAGATACACACATAACACCAGGAAGGTGATTCTCCATTTTGTGGTGGTATTGTGAAGGATTTACTGGGTGCATTCTGTTGTCCTCATATATACTAATTCCAGTCTTCAGTGGGAGAGGGTTCTAGCTCAGTGGTAGAGCATCTGCCTTCCATGCAGAAGGTCACAAGTTCAATCCCCGGCATGTCCAGTTAGGTCTAGGAGAGACTCTTTCCTGAAGCCCTAGACAGACACTGCCCATCAGTGTAGGCCATATGGAGCAAGATGGACCCATAATATAATAATAATATTTTTAAAATTTATTTATACCCTGCCCCAGCCACTCTGGATGGCTTCCAATGCATATAAAAACACCAGCCGTTAATAGTAACAATCTGATCTAATATAAAAAGTCACAATAACTTATATCAAGCAAAGAAACATTCAACAATCCATAAGAATCTAATAGGAAACAGCAAAATTAAACGCCGGCAAATAATAATGAAACAGTTTGCACTTATCAATCACAATAAAAAAATTACTAATCTATATTCAATTAAAAAACCCCCAGCAAATCACAATGCATAAAATACCACCAAACATTCTAATCCATGTAAAATGATCAAGCTGAGAAACAAGGCACACAACTGATGTGGTCTGACTCAGTATAAGATAGCTTCCTGTGTTCCTAGACTACTGTTGCTTACATAACCAAAACTCAAGAGGGTCTCATCAACAGCTTGAATGAAGGTGTACAGAAGTGGGGGGTGGGGTGGGAATTGTGATTCGACTCCTAGGGGGTGAGGAGAACATGAAAACAGTCTAAGGCTCAGTGACCATTGAGTACCAACACTGGTTGCGTACACACCACGCATTTAAAATACACAACTTTCCCCAAAGTATCCTGGGAACTGTAGTTTGTTAAGGGGACTTGGAATCAGCACCCTTAGCAAACTGCAGTTCCCATGATTCTTTGGGTAAGCCATGGCTGTTTTGATGCCATTTTAAATATACAGTGCAGATGGGGCCCCAACTTTCGAAAGGAAAAAAAAATGAAGAGAAAGGAATTAAGATTGCAGAGATGGGGGCAGGGAATCAATTTATCATATTGTCTGGGGAGTTATATAGACCAACCCTGGGGCCTCTGAAATTCTCTGAATTATAGGTTGGCTTTAGTACATAATCCTTCCCCTAAAGATAGTCGGACATGGATCACAGATGAAAGAAACGTGCAGGAAATACATTGCTGTGTCTGGCGTTTTCGCACATTCATCATATTTAGCAAGAAGCACTAATGTAAGGAAGAGTTATTGCCGATTGAACATCCTACATGGGAACTGCTTGTCTCTTTTTGAAAAAAAAGGCCAGCATCCTTTTGCTTTTCACACACTTTTGCCCCAGGCGAAAGCTGCTCGCAACAGCAATGCCTGTTCACCCATAAACTGAGTGAAAACAAATATTTTCCATTACTAAGCCTAGCTGGAGCCTTTGCGTCTGTCTGAAGCTCCCATGGGGTCAAACGTTCAGTATTTGGCTTATTTCTTCCAGTGGGTCGTCTTCTTCCTGCTGAATGTAATCGTTTGTCTTACCAGCTTCATGATATCTACCAAGGAAATTATACGTCCATGTAGCTCATGGAAACTATAAGATCTTTGCCAGAAATTGTTATTTTAATGACAAATTGTTGGAAGATTTGCATCAGAACTGAAAGAACTATATACAAACCCCCAACACACAGCTATTTGCAAGTCTTAGAAGACGCAGTAGAAGGAACAAAGTTAATAAAAACATTTTTGGTCAGCAGTACTGCATTGTTGGTATAAATAGAATCACAGATTTGGTAAAAACCTTAAAGGTCTAGTCCAAACCCCTGCTGATGCAGGAAATCTATTGCTACGGCACCCCTCATAGGTTGCTATCCACACAGAACCTACAAAGCAATGGATTTTTATCTGACCTTATATGAAGGCTGAATTTGGTTCCCAGATGGAAACAAACAAATCCTGATATATTTTTCATCACTGCAATAGAATCACAGGAGATCCAAAATAATAACTTGTTGTCAGAGCAAAATTATGTTGGCTCAAAAATATCTCAGCTGTTGAGTTTCAGAGAATGCTTTCCATTAGGTTGTATGGACAGGTATGGTTTGTCTGATGAAGAGTTCTCTGCAACCCCAAAGCCTGCACACTCTTACACCAGTTTAATTGGTTTTATTAATAATGAATGATGCCTTTATTTTGGGATCAATATGATAACTGTTGTCAACTATTATACAGTTGTAGGGTTGCTGGGAGATCCTAAATAGGAATCTTTTATATAACAGCCTATGACATTTCCAACAATTTTCTCTCCAGCTTTCAAGAACATTTTTTTAAAAAATGACACTGTGTTGTTTTTCTTCTAGAAGATACCTATGAACGAACCTTGTTGGTAGATGGTGAAAGTGCAACTATCATACTAATTGACATGTGGGAGAACAAGGTAGGATGAAATATTCATTTTGCCATGCTGAATTTTTCAAACATTGCTTTGGAAATTTGACTTTAAGGGATCTTAAAAAACAAACAAACATCCAAATGTTAAGCATTGCTAAATTGTAAGGCAAAGAGATGAATCATATTCAGTAGGTTTGTTCTCTATCTTTATTTCATTTTTAAGCTTATAAATTCAACAACTTCTATGCTTGGGAATATATTATGATTACTATCATCATCATCATCATCATCATCATCATCATCAATTCTATACTGCTTTAATTCTTCAAGAAAAAAAAATCTCAAAGCAATTTACAGCCTACATGAAAACGTCAAATAACACAACCCAGAATAAAACATTACAGAAGAAAGTCAACTATAAAGTGTATATTCAAAGCAGCATAATTAACAGGAAACTAAAACATTATCTTAAAGATTTCAAAATTAAAATCTAATCTAAAACTAAAACATTCTCTTAAAAGATTTCAAAATAAAACATTACAAAGGAGGTCAATTACAGAATGAATATTTAATACAGCAAAAAACAAAACCCAAACCTATTTGAAACATTTCAAAAGAAACATTACTAAAGGAAGTCAAATATAATGCACAAACAATTATCAAGAAACTCACATATTCTCATAAGCATAGAACATCTCTGCTGCTGTTGCTACCAATCCTGCCACCCTCCCAGGCCAGGTGGGAAAAGGCCTGCAAGGCAGGGAGCAGGTCTTCCAAGACTCACAGCCAAGATGTTCTCCAATATTGAGAAGCAATACTTGAAAAAGTTTCAAGGGGCCTTTATGATGATTAGAAGTCTCTGAGATGAGCTCTTGAATAACAGCAGCTGGTGGGCTGGATCAATCATATTTGCCTGGCGCTCCCATGTGAACCTAGCCTGCCTTAGGGATCAGCCTCAGAGTCCCATCAGTCTGTTCCATCCATATATGAGATCAGGTGGATGGTGGAAAAGAGACAGGGCTTTTTTGGTGGTGGTATAAGGACTATGGGACGTTCTCTTGGGGAGATTAGCCAGGCTCCCTCTCTTCTTATATTTAACTGACATTGTTGTTCAATGGTAGCTTTCAGTAACCTGCATTTAATGATGTGTTCTTTATCACATTTTAGTACCGTTGATATCTAAATAAGTCATACCGAGTGCACACCTATTGAATAGGTCCCCCTTGTCCTCTCTTTTATGGTTGTTTTCTTTAACTGAGCAACATTTTACTGTTCTTTTATTATATTGCAATTTTGTGGAGCATTGCTTTGTTCTTATTTGTTTTATTGCAATGCAGTCATTTCTGTTTTAATAGAAAAATGGTATACAGTATAACTGATAAACAACTCAACTAAAGGTTGAGTTCCACGGGGCCACTGTTCGTGGGCATTTGAACTAACCACCACTGAAGTGTTACATACTTCATCCACTTCTGCAAATCTGGTCTTTCAAAGATCTAATCTTGCACAGGGTGGCAGTTCCACACCATCAGCTGGCACTTGTGGGGTTTTTTAAGGGGGTGGCACATTCCTAAAGGTTGCCTGAACTGGCCATAAATTTACTTAAATCTAAGGACTCTCTTAATGGGTCTGTGAGCTGTAACTTAGATCTCAATGAAGACATAATGCACTTTTTTTCTGGCAGCCATGCACTGCTAGAACTTAATAGGCGTTGTTAACGGTGCACTTATAGAAATAGTGGCAGTGGTGGAGGAAAGATTCATGACCTAGGTTTTAATAATAATAATAATAATTTAATTTATGTCCTGCCCATCTTGCTGGGTTTCCCCAGCCACTCTGGGCGGCTTACAACATATATACAAACACAACAAAGCATCAAACATTAAAAAACAGAATATCCTATATTAACAACAAACAAACCAATAAACCAATAGAAACCAATAATAACAATAACAATAACAGCAATAATAAAGAGTTTACAGTTATATCCAAATTAAAATAACCGCCAACCGCAACTAAACATTTAATCAACATCAACCTGACAAAAGCAAAACAGAGGAACCAAAATTAGAACCGTTTAAAACATTTTGAAGCATTTTAGCCCTGTTGTAATCAGGCCTAGTTCCAAGCAAGTTTATGGACCAAAATAAATGGCCTGATAACATCCCGGAATGAAAGTTAATGGGACAACGTTATTTTTTAAAATATAGCACTTGATTCAGCAAAGTAGGAACTACATTTGTACTGAATTAGTTGGATCATTGGTCTACCCAACCATGATTGGTAGATGTAGCCATCAGCAGCTGAAAAGTTGGTGGTATGAGCTGTAGATAAAACATGCTAAATTAATAAAAAATTAAAAAACAAAAAACTATGATGCTTCTCCCCATAATCCCCATAAACAGGGAGCACCAGTTTCTCAGGCCCTGACTGATGCAGCACTGTTTGGTGACTATTCTTTCATTGTGTAGAAAAAGCAGACATACACATACACACTGTCGGAACCTGCTTTATACTGAGTCATATGATAAACCACATGGTAACCACTGATTTTTGGGACGCGGGTAGGAATTGATTTTTTAAAAAGGCCTTGATGTTGAGATTCCATTTACCGTTAGTTCTTCGCTCTCCATAGAGTTCAACCGAGCACATAGGGCTTGCACCTAGTTTTTGGGGAAATCAAGGAATTTTTACTTATTTCCCACATGCCATCCCCAAGCTAGAAGAGGGAGATGGAGCACTCCGTCTCCCTCTTCTGCCTTCAGGGACAGCCTCCCTAGCCTCCGTGGGACAGCGGCTTGCCCCGTTGTCCCCCGAGCTTGTGGGGCTGGCGGTGGGGAGAAGCTTGCTTCTCCCCACTGCCAGCCTCCAAACCAGGTCAGGGAATAGCGGGATGGCGGTAGTCAGTTCCCTTCTCTCTCCTTGATCTCAAAGGGAAGCAAATTGGTTTTTTTTAACCAGTTCCTATAAAAATGCAAAGCATTTTCACACATTATACATATTATTATATGTATAATATTATATGCACCCCACGTTTCCTAAAGTAACAGCACATAAACACACCCAACAGTGCATATAACATATAAAGTACTTATGTATTAATACTTATAAACTTATGCTGCAACAATATAGTAGCACAGAGGATTTTACTTTTTTATACATATTCAGTGTATAAATATATGGAGGGTTTGCATCTCATTTTGCATCTAATTAGTCAATTGTATTTTGACAAATGCGAGAGCAGCTTAGACATAAGTGGGCACTTGGTGCTGCAAGAGACACTCTGATGGTTTGAAATGGATCCCTCCTCCATCTCTCAAAGGATATATTGAAGGTCAAGCGCAGAATTTAGATGCAGGCTTCAGCCACAAGTTAACCAATGACCACATAATGCAGCACTCATTCTGTAACCCTGAGCTACACACCAAAAGTAATGAAAACATGTTGTGGCAATATTTTGTTTGTTTCCTGTAGAGACCCAGGTCTTCCAGTTAAGATACCCAGTATTTGTTGACACGCAATACAATTTATTATTATTATTATTATTTAAACAGGGTGAAAATGGATGGCTCCAAGATCACTGCATGCAAGTTGGGGATGCATATTTGATTGTCTATTCCATCACGGACCGTGCAAGCTTTGAGAGAGCATCCGAGCTCAGGATACAGCTCCGCAGGGCACGCCAGACAGAAGACATTCCCATTATTTTAGTGGGCAACAAAAGTGATCTCGTTAGGTGCCGGGAAGTCTCTGTTTCAGGTAGGAGCTACTAGATGTCAACTGGTAATGCTGTTTGCTTTGCTTCTATGCTTTTGACACTAACCTTGCTCAGTGGGTTTGTAATCTTAAATATGTCTACGCTACAAACAACAACATGTTCAGCTGTGTCTTTCTCCCGAGAAACCTCGGAAAATTTCATTCTGCATGGGAGATAGGACAAGGGCAGAGCCACACCATATGTTTAGAACACACCCAACGCACACACTTAAAACCCTATGGATCCTGGGAACTACAGAGCTATAATTTGCAGTACCCTTAAGAAATGTACTGTGGTGCTGTGGTCTAAACCACAGAGCCTAGGGCTTGCTGATCAGAAGGTCGGCTGTTCAAATCCCCGCAACGGGGTGAGCTCCCATTGTTCGGTCCCTGCTCCTGCCCACCTAGCAGTTCGAAAGCACATCAAAGTGCAAGTAGATAAATAGGTACCGCTCCGGCGGGAAGGTAAACGGCGTTTCCGTGCGCTGCTCTGGTTCGCCAGAAGCAGCTTAGTCATGCTAGCCACATGACCCAGAAGCTGTCTGTGGACAAACACCGGCTCCCTCGGCCCATAGAGCGAGATGAGCGCTGCAACCCCAGAGTCATCCATGACTGGACCTAACGGTCAGGGGTACCTTTACCTTTACCTTTTAAGACATGATAGTTCTCAGGATTCTTTGGGGGAAGTCTCCTGCTTCCAGCATGTGTTGGAGGTGCTTTAAATGTATGGTGTGGATCTTCTCAAATGTCAACGGTCTGACAAAACCTATAGCCATAAGGCAGGGATGGGAACCTGTCGCCCTTCAGATATTGATGGACTCCAGTGCCCATCAGCTCCAGCCAGTATAGTCAAGGATAATGGGAGCTGTAGTCCAGGAACATCAGGAGGGCCACAGGTTCCCCATCCTTGCCCTAAAGGTTTCTTGGGGAAATTTCATGGCAGCTAACTGAATTAAGATAAGCCCTGTTCATAGGTACAACATAAATACTCTTTGGGTTGGACAATGAGTAAACACTGAAGCAGGGGTTGGAATATAATTATTACCAAAAATTAGTCATGGAATAGGCTGTCTAAGGCAGTTGTAGAATTCCCATGACGGGTAGCTTTCACAAAAGTGGTGGAGACAGGCTGGGTGCCTGGGATTTTCTGTTCTTCATTCAGCTCTCTTCTTCAAAGGCAAAAGGCAAATCTCTAGCAAAATTTGAAATCTCAGAAGCCCAAAGTGTGGTGGCTGAAAAGGAGTTCCATTATTTAGATAGTGGAATTCAGTGCCACCATGGATGGTGGAAGCGGACAAGAAAAAATATTTAAATTTGCTATATTTGCATAATTTATGCTTGGCTCTGAATTCAGCTTTTCCTGTCTTAGAATGTGAGTATGCTGGGGTAGAACTTTGATCACTTAGCACAGCAACCAATGTAGCCCTGATTATATGATACGCTTTCTTAAGGCAAAGGATTGGAGTGGGTGATTCTCTGGGTTGTTGTCAACACCAGCTCTTGTTTTTATGAATCTACCCCAGCTCATTAGCTCTTTGTCCATTGTTTAAAATAATGTGCAGTCACCTGAGCTCTCCAGCTAGTACAATGACAAATCCCCTTCAAATGTTTTGCAGAGGGCAGGGCCTGTGCCGTTGTGTTTGACTGCAAGTTCATTGAGACCTCGGCGGCCGTCCAGCACAATGTGAAGGAGCTATTTGAAGGCATTGTGCGTCAAGTGCGGCTCAGGAGAGACAGCAAAGAGAAGAACGAAAGGAGGCTGGCATATCAGAAGCGGAGGGAGAGCATCCCCAAGAAAGCCAGGCGATTCTGGGGCAAAATCGTAGCCAAGAAGAACAAGAACATGGCCTTCAAACTTAAGTCCAAGTCTTGCCACGATCTCTCTGTCCTTTAGGAACATTGGATCATCCTGAGCATTCTCTTTCCTGGACCTTCTTCAGCTCTCTTCTGAACAATAAACCAATCTATATTAGATTGGTCAACAAGAAATGCAAATCTGACTTGGACTCACAGTTGTGATTATTCTGATGAAATGTGCCAGCAATAAGGACAGCCTAATGCATGCAAGGATGAAGAAATGCCATTTATACTTTCCAGTTTATAGTTTAAGTGTGTGAGTGTGTTTGGGCTGGGGCGGGACAGAACTTTTGTCTTATAAACAATAACATTCCAAACTTACAAAGAGACGTGTCCAAGGGGGGGGGATAAAACTGTTTCCCTTGTTGCCTTTTAGATAATAGTATAAGAAATCGGAAAGCATCGTTTATAAAACGGATGCCATCTTTTTGTTATTATTTCTTACTAATTCTGTAAGCCAATGAAAAAGGGTTCCCACTTGATATGCCTTCTCCCTAATCAACCAGTTGACTTTCTTAAGTGCCCGCAGCTGAAAATCTTTGTTGGTTTGATATCATTTATCCCAATGAATAGAAAGATATCAACTGCAGTCAGATATTCAAGTGTTTGGTTAAATGGGAGCATTATTTACAGTGGGTTACATTGCCACAGAACACTATGGGAGATGAATGTGAATTTCACTAAATGGATATTTGTAGTTAGAATATTGGCAATATTAACTGCTAATGGCTGTAGCCCTAAGAACCACTTACCTAGGAGTAAGTCCCAGTGAGCTCAGTGAGGCTTACTACTGTGTAGGCACGTGCAGGGTTTCACGGTAACTGTATAATAAGTGTTGAAGAGTTTCCTTGATGCATCTGGAGCCATTTGATTCTCTTAAAAAACATAGGTATAGGAGAAAATTGTAATACAACTTTCTGTTGTGTTGTAACACAAAATTGTTTATATTGATAGAATAAGTAGGAAACGTAAAACATAAAATCAAGTGCAAAATGCCAAGTTTTGGGAAAGAAAATCTCCTTTTCTAATAAACCACAAAGAGATTTTGTGCTGAAATCTCACGTTTGTATTATGCCATTGTAACTTTCTATTTATTGTCTTTCAACTATTTGCATTTTTAATGGGTGAACTGTTAGGAGTGGGAGGGAAGGGGGAGACATTGTGTTGAAATGTATTTATTAAGTGATTTCTTAAGAAAAATGATTTTATTACTGTTTTCTATATGATGTCTTTTGGACTATTTACATGCCTTGTAATAAACCAATAAAAGGTTTCACTGCCTTTGAACCTAGCAAGAAATCTCAAACTTGATTGAAGCTTAGCTCATACAAGCATAGCTGTCAACTTTCAGATTTGAAAATAAGGGATCAGCAGCCTCACCTGTCCCGGGGACAGTCTACGGGATATCTAATAATCCGGGATAGCAACGGGAAGCAGTGGGAAACGGCGCTGGAATAAGGGAATTGCCTGCAAAAAAGGGAAGGTTGACAGCTATGCAAGAAAACTTGCTGATTTGGTGTTACTTGTGAGAATGGGAGGGAAATTTGATAGGTTCACATTTTGATGCGAAACAGCCTCATTCACAAATGAATGCATGAATTGAAAAATAGTTATCCCGTAAAAGTCACACTTCAGATTTTGCAATGCTGTTTCCCAATGAAAAAAATGCATTTAAAAAGTGCACAATAAGAAAAAGGGCATGCAAAAATGTATGTATTAGTGAAAATAACATGAGCATATTAGGAAATGCATTATAAAATTGCATTTTATAGCAGACTGAAATTGGCTTCCATTGCTTATTTGTTACTTTTTGTTTCCCCTTAAACTTGCCCCACTAGCACAGCTAGGAGGCAAGGTAAAAGTAAAGGACCCCTGGAGGGTTAAGTCCAGTCAAAGGCGACTATGGGGTAGTGTCACTCATCTTGTTTTCAGGCCGAGGGAGCTAGCGTTTGTCCACAGACAGATAGCATGACTAAACCACTTCTGGTGCAACAGAACACTGTGTTGAGTACCAGACCACACAGAAACGCCATTTACCTTCTCACTGCAGTGGTACCTATTTATCTACTTGCACTGACGTGCTTTCGAACTGCTAGGTTGGCAGGAGCTGGGATACAGCAATGGGGATTCAAACTGCCGACCTTCCAACTGGCAAGCCCAAGAGGCTCGGTGGTTTAGACCACAGTGCCACCTGCGTCCCACAGCTAGGAGGCATGCTAGACTGAATGGTTGCAGGCACTGCCACCTCTATTTTCCCCATTGCTTTTGGAGCTTACTCCCCTCCCCACCTCCATGTAGCAAAGCTACATCAGGATCCAGAGGCAATATAGTTTTGCAGCATTACAAAATAATAATAATAATAAATAATAATAATAATAAATTTTATTTATACCCCGCCCTCCCCAGTCAAGACCGGGCTCAGGGTGGCTAACACCAGGGAGTTGAGAGAAACCAGTGCTCGTATCAACCTTAGGAAAATGACAGCATGCCTCTTGAATTTGCACCTTAATCAATGAGTAAATATTGAGGTTGTGAGATATCAAGATTTGCTTTGCTAAGCAGCATTTATATTTTGCTTTGGAATGCAGCTTTAAGAAAGTGCTCATGATAACTGACTTCCAAGTGCTGGTGATATCTTAAGAATGGAGCAATGTGTGATGGTTGTGGGAAGACCCGTATTTTCAACACAGGCCACACCAAACTTCTGTAGAGCAGGAGGTGACCGGTGTTGATCAAGTTGCAGGTAAGAAGTGGTTCAGAGGCCATTCCACTACTTCTTGTATGGGAATATACAGAGCTGTCCTATACTGAAGACATTGGTCCATCTAGCCAGTACTGTTTGGATTTCACATATGAATCTCTCTCAGCCCTAGCTGGAAATGTAGGTAATTCAAGCTGCAACCTTCTGCCCCCAAAGCAGTTGATCTACCACTGAGCTGCAGAACTTTCCTTACAGCCACCCCTCTGAGCCTCTTTTCTAATAACACACTCTGGAGACCGGAAATGCCCTTGGCGAGGTGAAAAACTGCTTGCAGGAGTGGCTCTATTTACGATACGATACGATACGAATCTTTATTGTCATTGTCCCATACAGAACAACGAAATTGAAAAAAACCTACAAAAGACATTCAAAAACCAACAAACCTGCTATCCCAGCTATCCCAACCTGGTTAGCCCCCTAAAAACCTCTGATACCCCATTTTTAAATACAATATACTCCCATAGAGACTCCTTACACTGCATTTAAAACCAAAATCGCATTTGGATAGAAACTGTTTCTTAGGCGGCTAGTCCTAGTCTTTATAACCCTGTACCTTCTTCCAGAAGGCAGAAGCTGAAAGACATCATTTCCAGGGTGCGCACTGTCCTGCGCTATCTCTGCAGCTTTCTTATGGCACCTAGAAGCATAGATTTGATCCAAGGTGGGAAGAGTGCACCCAATTATTCTCTCCGCAGTCTTTACAACCCTGGACAGCATTGTTTTTTCCCTGACCGTGCAGCTCCCAAACCACGCACACAGACCATAAGTTAATACACTCTCAACAGTACAATGGTAAAATGGTCCTTTGAGAGATTGTTTTTCCGGAGGATTCTCAGAAAATATAATATATTAATTTAGGTTATTATTCATTTTAATATGTATATGCTGCCTTTTGGGCAAAAGCCCTCCCCATTGCAATTAAAGCTGTTTCAATGCTAAAAATAATGGCTGTACGAAATCTAGGTTGTAGTTCAGGGATGGGGAACTTCAGGTCCAGGAGCCAAACGGAGTTTCGAGTCCTCTCTGTATGGCGTGTGGGACTCTTACCAGGCCACACTCCTCACTAACCCCGGCAGGATGGAATGTGTCTTTGAACTCTGATAGGCTTCTGGCTTGCCTGGATGGAAGAGGGAGGATGTTTGGTGTGTAGAAATTAGCTTACTGTACAAAAAATAATAATTAAAAAATCAGATTCATTGCTCTGCCCTCTGGCCCGGCAACCACTTGCATGTGGCCCCCAGAAACTTTCCCAGAAGAGCATATGCCCCTCAGGCTGACAAGAAAAGTTCCCCATCCCTGTTGCAGCTGGTCTCTCTCTAAAACCTGTTGCTGCAGTCTGTTTCCAAAGAACCCTTTACAAAGGAAATCCTCTCAGTATTAGAATTTTCCTTAAACATTAATGTTTTGTTCAAAAGCCCAGCAATGTGTCTGTTTGGCCTTGTTTCTTAAAGAATCGTTCTGATAGCATGGGGTGGAAAAGTTAACCCTCCTGAAGGGTTTTCTACAAAGAGATTGGAGAAGTAGATCAGAGATTTATTAAGCAGCCAATGGATTTGAAAAGGAAAGGAGCAGAACTGGGTTTGGGTCAGATGATCCAGTGACTCAGCCTAACGTGCTTCGAGAGACAAAAACATCAAGTTTCTGGGACAGAAACTAATAAGATAATTGCAATGTCATCTATAGAGATCTGGCAGTGGCTGTGGAATCTGTGAGTCATAGTCCTGACTGGATGACGGCAGTGATACTGAAATATATGCAGCCTCTGTATAAGGCAGGAAACAGGAGCATAGAAACCCAGGATCATGTGAAAAGAAGAGCTGCCATAATAACTCTGTTTGGATAAGAGATTATTATCTATTAAACTTGTCAGATGCTTTATCTTTCCCAAGGCAACCCAAAGCGACTTACAGTCCATTAGGCTAATAACATGAAATAAGAATAGTTAGAATATATTAATTTTTGGGAAGGGCTGCAGCTCAGTATTAGAGCATCTGCTTTGCATGTAGATGGACCCCCAGACCTCCAGCACCTGCAGGTAAGGCTGAGGATGTCACCTGGATGTCACGCTGGAGAGCTACAGCCAGTTAGTATAAACTAAGCTGAGCATCTTAAGGACAACATCTTAAAAAGCAGAGACATCACCTTGCCAACAAAGGTCCATATAGTTAAAGCTATAGTTTCCCCAGTACAGATGTATGGAAGTGAGAGCTGGACCATAAAGAAGGCTAATCGCCGAAGAATTGATACTTTTGAATTATGGTGCTGGAGGAGACTCT